ACTTGGCCAGCAGCAAAATGAATCAGCCTTTTGGTACCAGGGCTAACATTTTATAACTGAGTAGTTTGCTTGTTTCCTTATCTAAGTGATGAGAACAACAGAGCAGACAATTGAGGTGTGAACTCAAACTTAAATAAGTACCCAATGCAGGTAAGTTTCACATTGTTCTGCCTGCTTTTACTCCCCATCCTGTGGGTTAGTTTTTTTTGGTGTTAGAAAAAAAAAAAAAAAAAAAAAAAAAAAAATCAGAGAAATTCCATGTATATAGCCAGAGAAATCAGAAAAGGGCCAGTGGACTCCCAAACCAGGCCCATCAACATTCCATTGCAGTTGTGGCAACATAGGTACCAAAAAGTTTTTACACACTCACATCTCTAGCAAGAGGATCCACAAAATGGGGCTATGTTTTTACCATGCTATATGAGTGGAATCACCATTATTTTTCTCTCAATATTTTTGTTCAAACTGTGACCCCAGATGGATGCTATAAGAGGCCATAAAACTTGGCTTTCTAGTTGATGAAATAAAAAAAGATAGATTTGTGCCTTGAAAAATATGGAGGAACTATTGAGGGGAAAAAAAGATAAAAGCTGGTCACTAATTCTATGTGTACAACAAAGGAAATGCTGGCTCATTCCTAAGATGTGCATGCACAGGGTCAACATAGAATGACACAAAATCTGGTAAACCACCACCTAATTCTTTCATGTGCACATTTCTCCCTATGTGGTGGTGGTGGTGGTGGTGGTGGTGGTGGTGGTGGTGGGTGAGAGAGAGAGAGAGAGAGAGAGAATGCACTAAATCCACATAAGTTACAGGTGTATGTGTATCTATGCACACACATGCAAAAATCAGAGGGAGGCATCAGTCTCTGTCTTAGTGCCTTGAGACAACCTCTCTTACGGAACCAGCAGTTTATGGTTTAGGCTACTCTGTGGTTCGGCTGCTTAGCTAACCAGCAAACTCCCAGGATTTACCTGTCTCCAGTCCACAGTGCTGGGCTTATAGCTTGCACAGCCATTACGCCCCCCCCCCCCCCTTTTTGTACTTAGAGTTCAAACTTAGGTCCTCATGGTTGTCTGACAATTGCCTTTGCCCACGGAGACATCTCCCTAGCCCTTGAACAATGCCTTCAAAGAGGAGTTAATATTGAAACTTGGAAATCTGAAAAAAAGAAGTACAAAACTGAATCTGAATGGACATAAGTGGAGGTATTTTCTTTTCTTACAAAAACATTTTATAGAAGATTTTAAAGGACTTATAATCTCCACAGCATAAGATCTAAACTGTCCAGAGTACAACAGGGTGTTAAAATAATCCAAATTTAAGAATTTCTCAGACTTTAAAGCAGCCATTAAAACCATGGTCCATGGACTGACTAACAGCAAACATGATGAAAAGAAATGGAAAAGCAGACACTTGCAGTTAGAGAAATTAAAACTATGGGACATAACCCAATGGAAAAGTACAATATTCAAAGTAAGAAATGACTAAATGTCCAGTAGCCAAATGGGAACTGTAGCGAGAGAGCAGTGCAGTTGAAGAGAGAGCAGTAGAAATCAGAGGAAGAGATAAGACAGCAAGAGAGTGAGCTGGACCTCAGGGATGCATGGGGCAGAAATAAAGGATCTAAAGTTTATATAATTAGAGGAAGGGAAAAGGTTGATACAGGAAAAAAAAGCATACAATGGCCAAGGTTTCTCATATTAGGTATTAATTAGAGATCCAAACATTAGCTAAATCCTAACTAGATGCTAAAAGGAAAACATGCCCAGGTGTGTCACAAGATCGGTCTACTGCAGACCAAAGATGATGAGAATCTTGAAAGGCAGTGAAAGAAAATGACACATTTATGCATACAGGAAATGGAAATTTAAATGATAGTAGCTTCCCCCTAAAAATTATGGGAGTAGAGGGAGGATATCCTTGATACCGAGAGCAAATTGGGACCATTTACCTCCTATAGCAGCATATTCCTATAATCTTAGAACTGGAGAAGCTGAGAAGAGAGTCTGAGTGGAAATGCAGCCTGGGCTACTTCATAAAGTTCAGGCCAACCTGGGCTATATATTAATAGTTCTTTTTAAAAAATGTGTTTTGTAAGCCTGGTGTGGTGGCACGTGCCTTTAATCCCAGCACTCAGAAGCCAGAGGCAAGCAGATCTCTCTGAGTTCAAGTCCAGCCTACTCTACAGAGTGAGTTCCAAGAGAAAAGCCCTATCTCAAAAAAACAGAACAAAGTAAAACAACAGCAAAAACGTGTTTTCTATGTATGGTAAATGCACCTAAATATGTACAGATGCACACTCGTGTGTGTGCATGGCCAGAAGAGGACAACAAATATTTTTTCTATCACTCTATGCATTATTCATTGGAAGCAGCGTCTCTCTCTGAACCCATGGTTCACAGGGCTAGGTTGATAGCTAGCAAGCCCAAGTGACCCTTCTCACCACCCTCCCTATAGTGCTGGAGTTGCAGGTATGTGCCCGACTACCATTAGCTTGTTACATGAGGCTGGGATCTGAAGATCCAAATTCAGCTCCTCATGACTGCACAAGTACTCTCCAGACAGACTTTTTCAAGATGAAATCAGATTAAAAATGTTTACCATCAACATTGCATCAAATGAAATATTTGATGATAATACTTTTATATCTAAAAGTTCTTGATGATAAAACAATAAATGTTATAAGAAAGAAACTTGAAGGGAAAGCAATCTTAATCAACAAAAACTGGAGTTAGTGCCTCACATAGTATACACATTTTTAACTTCAGCACTAGGGAGGGAGAGGAAGGCAGATTCCTCTCTGAGTTCATGCTCGTCTGGTCTACATAGTGAATTCCAGGCCAGCTAATGCTCTATAATTGAGACCCTGTGTATATACATGGGTGTGTGTGGGAGTATGTACACAATATGCATATATATGTATGTATACACACATGTATATATATATATATATATATATATATATATATAGAGAGAGAGAGAGAGAGAGAGAGAGAATGTAAGAATGAAAATGGAGGCAGAAATTGGAACTAGGCTTTGTAGCCCATGTTGGCCTTTGACTTGCCTAAAATGACCAAACAGCATGTTTCTAAGTTCCCCATGGGCCAAGAGAAAATTCTCAAGGGAAATTAGAAAATAAGTTCTACTGAATGCAAAGTTTCATCACATAATTTATAAGGTTCAGATGAAGAGTGAATTTATACCATTAAAACCTCTTTTTCAGTCAGTAGTCTAATATTTTTTACCTTAAGAAATAAGAAAATGAAGAGATTTCAAGTGCCATACATAGATAGTCTACACATACTGTTGGAAAGTGACTGAGTTTATGAACATTGCAATTATAAGTGTTTGATAGACAGCCACCGTGCAGCTTTATCTCCAGCCTTAGGAAAGGCTCCCATGTCTCAGGCCTGTGAATCAGGCTTGGCCACTGTGAAGTAATGGCAGTCTAGTTGCCCTGTGGTAGAACATAAGAAGCCCATATGTAGGTTCTGTGCTCTCCAGGCAAGCTAGTTTCTGAGCCTCAACTTTGCTCATCTATAAAATAAAAATCTAAAACTTTATCATCACAGTTTCCTAGCTTGAACATCATCAACTGGAGTCATTTATGGTCCAATAGTAAATGATGGCAAGACTGTTTCTCAACTGTATTTAATTTTCTCCCTTTGCTGAGTGTCAACATTAATAATATCCGGACTCCTTTGCTTTAGTGATTTGCTGCCTGTATTTTCAGTGCCTCTGGGAATTTTGTCCAATGCATTTATTTAGCCTTTAAAAGAAAAATTCTATATTATAAATGTAATGAAGACAAGGGCTGGATGGGGGAACATCTGATATGCCAAAACTCGAAATTATGGATTTTCTCTTGGTGAGTCAGAGAAGGGCCAAGGAAACAAAGACAAATGAATCTCCATATTATCCAGATTCTGTTTCCCACCAGGAAAACCCTATTTCACTGCCATAACAGTTGTAAAAGGAAGGACTAAAGCTGTTAGCTGGTTAGCCTGTGTAAACATCAGGGTAGAAGAGTCGGCCAAGCTTTGATGTGTTACTCCATTACTCAAGAAGAGAGCGGCTTTTGTCCTTTTAAGTTACTGATTGATTTGTACTCTAGTAAGTAGAAGAAGTGATTCTAATTAGAACTGGCTTATATTTTGTAGAAAACATGTTTAAGGATCGAAATAGCACCATTGTTCTTTGGAAGCTTAAGGCTGGATTTAATTTGAAATATATGTTCCCAGCTCTCATTTTTTTTTTTTTTACTCATAAAAACCTAACATACTGCTAAATTCTTAGCTTAAAATAGTTCTAAGAGCCAGGTGGTGGTGATGCACACCTTTGATCCCAGCACTCAGGAAGCAGAGGCAGGCGGATCTCTGTGAGTTCGAGGCCAGCCTGAACTATAACAACTAGTTCTAGACAGACTCCAAAGCTACAGAGAAACCCTATCTTGAAAAACTTAAAAAAAAAAAAAAATCTCAGGTTTAAAGATGAGACCCAACTATCAGCTAGCGACAGCACACAGGACCTTTCCCTTCGTGCTGTGCTTTTGGTCAAGAGGTCAAGAGCTATTTTATCAGGAACCTTTTATTTTGTAGATGGAGAAGTTAAGGCTCCCCTAGTTCATGGCAAAACAGGACTTTTAAGTTAAGCTCAGGTCTTTTATTCTCAGCCACTTGGCTTTCCTCTACATTGTTTGCTTGATCGGTTTTTTGTTTGCTTGTTTGTTTTGTTGTTGTTTTAAATAGAAAGGACTAAGAGATAACTCAGTGGTAAAGAGCTTGCCTACAAGCCTGAACAAGGCTCTGAATTAGGATTGGCTCCTTACCATCCTAAAATCAAGAAGAAAATGTTGTGTCCCTACTCAAACTAGGCATATCTCTGTATATCATAACTTATAAAAGTGAAATATTCATGGAAGAGAAATTACTAGAAATTAAAATTTTATTTAATTAAAATATGTATATAATTTCATTTACTTCTTATGTTTACAGGTGAAAAGAGATTTGAATGTCCAGAATGTTCTAAAAGGTTTATGCGGAGTGATCACCTTTCCAAACATGTGAAAACTCACCAGAATAAGAAAGGAGGTGGGACAGCTCTTGCCATTGTTACCTCGGGAGAACTGGACTCTTCTGTCACAGAGGTGCTGGGCTCTCCACGGATTGTCACAGTTGCAGCCATTTCTCAAGATTCCAATCCAGCAACTCCCAATGTTTCAACAAACATGGAAGAATTCTGAAACGCTATTTATAACAAAGACCTCTAGTGCTGCACTTAAGTTTACACACCTTTGAAATCTGGAAATGGGCTGGTCAAGTGGAAATCAGAGTGGGAAATCGCATCTGCACCTTGGAATCTTTAAGTATTCCAGGGATTTTTGGTTCAACGCATAAAGTGTTGAATTTTTAAAAATAGAAAAAGAAAACCAATATACTGGAAACAGAAGAGTATTTCTTCCATGTTATAAGTTGCTGTAGTCCTTGGAAATAATCACCTAACCTTTAAACAGACCTCCCTCTACCACCCCAGTTGTTGACGTGTCTAAAGAGACACCCATTTGCGGGCTGGACCTTAACCTGTTGGGAAGTACCTTGTTCAAATCTAGTCAGTAATAATTACACATACTTCTTTTACTCTCTAGCACAGAAAACAGATTGTGATATGACAATAGGGATAATACTGTATTTCTTTAGCTTGGTTTTTGGAAAAAAATCCACTTAAAATAGTTTTGGCCGTCTTTTCTAACTATCAAAAGTTCTTCAAAAGTTGAATTAGGTTACGTTCCAAAATAGCAACCTGAGATCTATCTCGGGTATTTATCACCACTACATTATAGTAGTGTGTATGCAGACAATCAGTGAAGCCCAATTATTTTCTCCATTTTGGAGACACAAGAGGACCTTAGAGCGAAATCTTAGGTTAAATTTTAGATTGAAAATTTAGGAAAATACTGGGGGAAATTTATTAGAACAGAAATCATGATAGCTTCAAAAAGGTGAGAGGAAGCAGTTTAACAAGTTGTGAAGTTAGGGTTGACTGTGTGCCTAACCCTGTGTTCAGTAGCAAAATTTCATTTTAAATGCTCATATTGGAAATGCTCGCATAGATTACAAATCTATGTAATTTCATATTCTGTAAATATGAGTTATGCTGACAATGTGTAGGATTCTTTATGCTTTGACTTAGTAGCCAAAGAAAGAATTATCATACTTTTTTCAGGTCAGCAGAAATTTATTTTTAACTACATTATAATTTTGTTTTCCTTTGCTAAAAATTTGCTAATCCAATTTTATTTCTAGTACTGTGTTAGGCTTATAAGAATTTATATCACAGTGATGTCTTTATGTTGTATCAATAACAAAGTTTTCCCTAAAGGTCTAGACAGCTTAGCAAATATATAATAAAAATGATATTATGAAGCAAAAAATATTTTTGGAAAACCAGAATACTTTTCAGTCAAATAGTGACTGAAAATATATTTCATTTTTTGTGCAAGGGTCTTAGAGAACAGTGTCTTATTAGGAAAGATGGCCAAACATTTCATATGAAAAACAATTGGATTATTCTACTAGATTAAACATTAGTAAGACACTTAATGTTTTTAGAGCGTACTTACACAGAATCATAACTATTGAAACTGACCATTTGGAAACTGAAATTTTTACCTAATTCATTGTTATTGGTTTGAAGATAGGTATATGTTTTCTTGTGCATTCTTTATTATTTCAGGAAAAATACTGCTCATGAGAATTCTCTTCCAGAATCATGATGTTTCTTGTATTTTTGATGAAGGAGAAATACTGTAATGATCACTGTTTACATTATGTACACTTTAGGCCAGCCCTTTGTAGCGTTATATAAAACTGAAGGCCTTTTGTGCTTTCGGTTTGTATAAAAAAGCTTTGAGATTAAAGGAAAAAATTTTTACACTGTGGTTATAAATTTCAAGTTTCTTAAAGCTTTTGTAGACTTGTAACAAAGTCTTTAAATTTCAGTTGAATTTTGTAAGTTGTTTTGTATATTTTATTTAATGTACTCTTAACAACTGATGCATCTGGCTTTAAAACATCAGAATCAGTTTGTTGTTTTGTTTGGTACAGAGGAGCATTTGGTAGTGTTGATTTTAATTTTATTATATAGGAGCTGAAACATCAAATATATATTTTATCTATCATGCTACACAATCAATGCTATAAATTTTTTTATGCAAAGAGACTTTCTTAATGTTTTAATCATGTTTTCTCCAAGCTATTCTTCTGTTGTTAGCACCAAGTATGAGCACTCTGCATCACTCTCCCCCGAGCCAGTTTCATGCAACTCATATGCTCATCCGAAGTGCAGGTTATCCTCACCAACAGCGAATCAGACAAACCCCAGTCAGCAGACACATTTCACCACTGAAGTTAGAAATATTTTGACAGTCTGTTCTGCCTACCATTCTGAGTCCACCTTTCTGTCGTATGCAGTCGTAAATTTCAGTGTCCTTTGACTCCGTGGGATGTAGCGTGGTAGGGCACAAACGTGCAGTAGTCTTGTTAATGGCATTCACTGCTCATTCTCTTTGCCACCGGTCTGAAGCTTTTCTTTGTAAAATTATCAGTGCAGAGCTCTGTATTTATCATGGTAGAACTCCAGTGTTAGAATAGTTTTCTCTAACAGTATACTTTCTTTGGTTAAGTTTGTGTATGTGTTGCTGATTACATTAGAACTTGATGTTAAGTCATTATTTATCACACTCATGAGAGCAGTAATAAAAGTGTGTAATCTAGGAGAAAAAGTTAATTTGTCAAACTTAGATAAGCATGATGTTTAGGTCCTATTTTTCAATTTTATAACTGTTTTATTGCAACAATATTTGTATTTGAGTCTCCATTTTAATGCCTTGTGGTGTTTTTTTATGCATGTCACTAAGTTGTCATCCCACATAAATTGATGTGCAGCATAGGGTATTAAATCTACATAATGATTTTAAAACAGAAATAGTTGATGGTAAAATGTAAATGTTTTGCAAAAATTCCTTATAAAAAGTTTCGTAGTAACATTTCACTTGTAAATTTTTTGTAAAAAAGAAAATGGTAAAAAAAAATGAATACAAAAAAAACCTGTTTTCCCATATCCTAGAATTTAGACAATTATTCTGCCAGCAAAGCCTCTGGGGCTGTAATTGACATTTTTACAGTGCTGATTTGTATAAAATTTGTTTTTTGTGGATTTGGAAATAAAATCATGTACAAGTTGTTGCCTGCAGTAACAATTGCAAGTAACCTTTTAAAGTCCCCTTGGGTTGAACATGCTTCATTTAATTATGTATATCATAGAGCAGCAATAAAGTGTTTAAACTATCAGCCTTCTCATCACAGTGAACACTGAAAATTTAAATGCCTCTCACTAGAAAATGTATTGGCAAACCTTCTTAATCCTGGTGTTCAGATCTGATCAACTCTTCTCAATATACCGCAAAAGAACTCCAGCTTAGATTGCATGTTAACTTGTGGCCATTGCTGTAGACATTTATGAAAATTAAATTTTGATTTAGAGACACTTCATTTAAATAATTTTAAGCAATAAATGTTAGGAAATAGTAGGATGGTCTAAAAATTGAAAAACAAAATTAAAAGAATATTTAAGCCCACAGCAGCATGTAGAAGAAGTGTAGGCCACCTAGATTTGGGAAGGTCTGTAACAAGAACAGAACTGCTTTTCCTTCTAGCATAGACTTGCATGTTTCACAAAAACCTTATGAATACACTTGAGTATGACTTTAGTGGACACATTTCCAAGTCTATACATAGCAGAGCCACTGGAGAGAACTGCAGGGTGTTAGACACCAAGGGAAGTGAGCTGCGCACAGGGCTCCAATAGTGTTTAAACATGAAACAGGCAGGGTGGTGTATGTGTGTGTGCACAGCTTGGACAGCACAGCCTAAGGGCGTGACTATGCTACAACGTACATGCATAGCATATGTTCTTAACAGTGATCAAACCAAGGGACAGTTAAATGTATGCTCCCCCACCAAGTAACAACTTGGTCAAAAGATTTCATGTCAAAAGTAAAGGTACCCATCTTGACCAGGATTGCTCAACTGTGTCTGTCCTTTTTTCCTCTGGGTGGTTCTTAGCCCAAAGCTTAACGTCGGTTCCCAAAGATACACTTGGAATTCTTTGGCTTGTTTGCTTGTTCCTCTTTTTATCCCTCCCCAGACTAGTATATGTTTCAATTTCCTGAAAGATTAACATGTACTCATCAGGGTGACACTGCCTGAAAAGATGAAACTCAAAACCGGAGACTCACTTTGAAGACAGTAATGGTCTGGTTTCTGAACTAGGAATTTCAACCGCGTGAACAAGATTGGGATCAGTCACAATCAGGCTGCTGACATGGAACTGGTGTGAAGCAGAAGCCATGCTTGGAGCAATAATATGACACCTGTAGTCTACAGCGCTGCTGTTAAAGATGACCTTGAAGTCAGCAAACGTGTTTCATATAGCTTATCTAAAAGGTTAGGTACTAAATTAGAGGGTACAATGACTTCAGATGCCAGTAAGAGATGTGAAATTTTTCAATTTTTTTCAGAGATTATTGTTTGTGCTGTAATGTACGTAATAGGCTCCATCAGTTTATAATTGTGTTGCAAGAATTTAAAGACATTTTCTAAGATTTTTCTGGTTGACATGGCCTTGGGTTTTGCTTCTCTGAGTAGCAGGTGGCGGTGAAATCGTTTATTTTTGGATACCTGAGCATGATCTCAAAAGGAAATAGCAGAAGGAGTTCAGGAAAGGAGAGATGGGAAGGGCCGGAGGAAAGCACAAAGGGCTATTACTGATGGAGTCATCTCTCCATGGTGATGGTACTTGGAAAAGAAGCCATAGTTCAGGCTGGACTGGATTAGTGGTTGTTGATCCAGGTGTTGAATTACTCCTGCATTTTGCCCTTCCTTGCACAGTCTTGATTGATATTGTCAGTGAGCCCACCAAGCGCCTGGTAAGCAGCAGCATTTGTGATCAGTAACCTAGAAGAAGGTACTTCATTCACGCTACTGTCCCAAAATAACATAAACTGGATGGCTTGTGAACAGTAGAAGCAGGCCAAAGGTTCAGTGTCTGTTGTGGTCCAGCCCTGGTTCATGTGTTGCCTTGACAACCCTCCCACAGTAGAAGGGATGAGGTGGCTCTCCGAGGGCCTTTTTTCTCGAGGCACTATCACCATTTCAGGAGTTCACCATTTTTAAGATCTTACCACCTCACAGAGGCCACACCTCCTGTACTGTGTTGGGGTCTGGGGAGACAACCCATCAGACCCAGCAGGGGACACTGAGCAGCCAGATGCTTGGAATAGGAGCACCATGGTGCAAAGCTAACTCAGAACTGCACAAAAAGGAAGGAAACTTGAGCGAGTATTACCCATTTCAACTACATTTTTCTCAGGCTGAGCTAGTTTGCAAGACAACAGTCTCCGGAGTGACATGTCACACTGGGAACAAGACTGAAGGTACTTCATCTCAATGAAGCACATTGAGATGGTGCCTCCTGGGAGGAGCCAAAGCAGGGCAAGTGAGAATGCCCAGGATTCAAGACAGCTGAGAAAGCTCATCCAGAGATGGATTCCACACCACCGAGGGACAGGAGACAGGAAGAGATGAGCCTGCACAGATGCCTCGAGCAACGATTATTCTTTGTACCCTACCTTCCTAGGTGGTTGGCTTGGTTTAAATTGTGTTATTTATTATCTTGCTATGAAATTCAGTCTAATAAATATTTTATTTATAGTAGTATTTTTGTGATGTGGAAGCTATAATAAAGTTTATTTTCTGCTGATAAAATTGTTTCTACTTTATATAACTTTATGCTGGAATTAAATATATGAATAATTCATAGCACAATGTAAAAGGCATCATGATTTCTAAGTATTTGATCACCTAACAGGTTTGAAAACTACTACTGAGGAAATACCATAAAAGAAAACAAGCTAACAAAAAAGACATATACCAAATTCAATAATAGTGTAGCTGGTTACACCCTTCATTAGCACAATCACTTTATGTCTTCACAGCTTTCTTTACACTGGCTTGTGCTTTGTGGGAAGATGCATTGTAAGAATGAAATTTATGGTTACTTTCTGATTTCATGGACAGAAAAAAGATCATTACTGAAAAGTCAGGTCTCAATTTGGTGGTCCTGTATTAGTTTATTTAAAGGACTTGAAGTGTTTTTGCCATTGGCTGTTCTCGCTTATTTGCCTTTGTTTCTCACAGTGTGGATGTGGATGTGGTGCTTTGTATTAGAAGTCTATGTAAACTGGTTCACAGATTCTGCAAATCCCTGTAAGTGCTTTCTCCTACAACCCATTTGTGAACAAGACATATTCAAGGAAAAGTGGAAGAAATAAGCAAACCTAGCAGATTTCTTGGAATAATCATTTTACAGAGACAGGCATTTTTTCTGTATTTTTTAGGAAGAGAATTATCTTGCTGATAAAAGCAAATTTTAAATATTAATTAAACTGACTTGAATCTGTGATCTTGGCAATTCTTGAAAATATTAATATGAGACTCCCCCTGAAAATAAATCCAAATAAAATGCTTATCTTCTGCTTATATATTTTATTCTAATGGAATTTTGATTAGATTTGTGAATTAAATATTGATGTCTTTTAGGAAAATAGGAAATGTCTTTCACTCCAGTGTTCAGAATAATCCCAAAGTGTGATTTACAGGAGATCCCACAGCCCTCCTGTATTAATTTTCCTCTCTTAAGCTGAAATATTGCCATAGCCCTGAAGTCCATGCAGCTCATTCCAGTGTCCAGGCTGTGATCTTGAATTTATCTAGCAAGGCAGAACAATAGATTTCCTCTGTATTTAGATGTCAACCCCATTTACCCTCTTCCAAGATTATAAAGACAGTTATGGGTTCTCTTTTTCCATATCTGTGTTCTGAATATTGGGATCACTCCCAAATTAATGTTAGAACTTAATCTTTAAGGAGCTCATGTGTCAAGAGTGGGATTTGTACAAGTGTTTGTCACAGAAGTACCCTTGTGAAAGGCCCCAGAGAGCTAGCTGGATATTTTTGCTCTGTGAGTGCATACAGAGGAAAGAGCATCTGTGGGCCGTCATCTTGTGCTTCCCAGCACCAAGAACCTCGAGATTGCTGATGTTGATAAACTACCTAATTTATAGTGTTTTTTTTATTATAGCAACGCAAACAGAGACCAGGGTGACAGGCAAGAATTTAATGAGGCACAAAGCACAAAGTCCATTCAGCAAAGGAGTTGTGCATAGTGACAGAAGCAGGCTCCCAGAGCAACTACTCTTCCTCTCTCCCATCCTTGCTGAATCCTGGGTTAAAGTGGAGCTGGAGACTAGAAGTGTCTATTACTTCATGGTGTGTGCAGTTTTCTCATTATTTTAATAACTAGTATATGATCCCAGATGACTTTATGCTCAGTCTATACGCTTGTTTTTAATATTTGAATGGAAAAACCCAGTCCACCAAGCATCCATTTAACTGCTAACTAACTTTGTGATGAAGCCCATGCTTTTACATAGCATTGTGCTTAAACATGAAAATCAAGAAAAGATGGGCAGAAGTCATTTTCCTTCAAAATCCTACGGCTAACTCAAAACTTTTCATAAGATTGGTACAGGGTACTAATTCATCTGATTGCCGTATTTTGAACAATTTTAAAAGGTAAATCAGAGAAATGGTTAATAAATGCAACAGTAACAGATAAACAAGATCGATTTCTTCTAAAATTTTCTTTGCTATTTATTGAATGTAAGACACAATTTTATGCCCCTACCGAGAAGCTTCATCGTTGATGTTACAGTATTGCCTAGATGTTTTCATTTATACCTCTGAAAAAACTTACTAAATATTTATACATTTCTATATGCCTTGCTCTCATACATGAAGAAAACATGAAAGTTCTTCATACCAGGACTAAAATTTCCATTCATGTTTTTGTCTGGGTGTTAGACTTTTGTTTTCTTTGCCTTGTTTTTGAGATGGGGTCTCCATGTAGTCCAGGCTGGTTTTATACTTGATACATAGCCTAGCAAGACCTTGAACTCCCAAGCATTTTGCCTCAATGTCTGTCCCAAATGCTGGGACTTCAGACATACAGCACCAGGGCAGATTCAAATGTTAATTTTCTTTTCCCTCTTTCTGCCCCCTCCCCTCTCACTGCTTATTAAGATTTTCATGTAGCCCAGACTGACCTCGAACTTGATATGTATCAAAGAACTTCTAGAACTTCTGATCCTCCAAGTGCTGGGATGCCCCTATGTCTACTCTTTGAATGGTAGTTTTAAAGTTGCTATGTTCGTTCTTTCATACTCCAGGGTTCAGTAGATAGAGACTGATCACCCTCTGCTGAGTGTAGATGGCACTTAATGACTTGCTTCTAAAACATGGAATACAGTCTACAAACCAGACACTTGGAGACTAAATCATAAGAAAGCACTGTGGCCTCCCTCTTAGCTGTTCTTTTGGATTTGTCTTTCCAGGGAGTCCTGATCCCATCACATAAACAACCCTATGAGAGGCCCTGGTGGCATGGCAATGGTATCTCTGCACAGTAGCCTCCCAAGTGAGCCTGGAAGACTTGTCCAAGCCAGTCCACTGTTAGGGTGACTGCAGCCTCAACCTGTGAGACCCTGTCCAGAGATGCCTAACAGACACCTCATGAATTCTTGAGCAGTGCAATAGGATTTGTTGGGTATTGTTCAAAGCAGCTATGTTTGGGGTGGAGAGTGATTTATTAGACCACAGTAGATAACTAATATCCCACAAGTCCTCAATTTTCAGTCAGTCTCACCATCTGGGTCATTCAGAGCATTGACACTTACACACTGTTCACAGGATGCTCCACCAGGATCTCTGAGATTTCCTCTCACTGAAGATGTACAGAGGGTGAGAAGACTGACAATAGACTTGCCTCCTGCATGACCACAAATAAAAGATAGCAATTTGAAAGATACTAAAATGGGGGAAGGGGACAATGTACTCTGCAGGACCCATGAACTACATTTTAAGTTGTGTTTATTTCCTTTTGACTGCCACCAACTGGTGTGG